CTAATTCATTTGACTTAGCTAAAAAATGAAGACGAAAAAGACGAGTACCGTCTTGTAGATCTAGAAAACTTACGCGTTGAAGCGCTTCTCGTCGAGATCTTTGCACTCACCACAGACGAAAAGATTGATGAAGCATCGCAGAAAATCCGCCGCTTTGCTGTTGATTTAGATCCATACTTTATTGAGCGTCCATCCGAAGGCAAGGAGATTTTACATAGCACGGCAACGTTGGCTGCCGAAGTACGCCGCAAACGCCCGCGCCAATAAGCCGAAATTGTCGGTATTTCGTATAAATTTTGTCAAGTTAATTGTTTAACGGTGCAGCATGGATAACATAACGCTGCTTAAAAATGATATATAGAAATTAATGCCTTCGCATCTTTCTAATTGCAGTCACAGGCAAAGCCTTTTTGCTTGACCGCTCTGTACCTTGGTCGCGTCCGAGAGAGATGAATGATCTCAGGCGGTGTCTTTTCTGGTTCCTTCGCACCAATTTCTTCTTTCTGGTGCTGGTTCTTTTCCTTTTCGACACGAAAGTCATCAACCATGCGGTCAATCAGACACGAGAAGGCATCAGTGATGCGTTCACCACTCTTTGCCGAAGCACGAAACCACTCGACAATATTGTTTTGGTCAATACACTTTTGCATGTTCACACCGAGGTCAAGTGCACCCATAGGATCCACTAGTAAGTCACTTTTATTGGCAATTACCACGACTGGAATTTCTTTTCCTTCATTTGAGTCCTTGCAGCACGTACTGATCTCGTTTTTCCAGTTCATCACTGCATCAATTGTGTTCACGCGTGTGATATCACACACAATCACAGCTCCTCGGGCTTCACGAAAGTATCCACGCGTGAGCTTGGCAAATCGATCTTGCCCAGCAATGTCCCAAAGTTGTAAATTGATGGTTAAGGAGGCATCGTATGGGATCACTTTCTCCATAAAATCTACTCCAATAGTGCTCACATACTCTTCATTAAACTCATCTTGTGCAAACCGCCGTATCGTGCTAGTCTTTCCACAACGAGCATTGCCAACAACCAGAACTTTCATGATTATTGTCTCAGGTTCGGAGGAATCAGGTCTTTCATCGTCAGATCCACTGACACTTGAGCCACTCGAATACTGCGCCAGTATTTCGTCAATCTCCTCCTTAGTCGGCGCTGGCGCATTTTCAAGGTTCACAAGTTGCTGTTGAATCTCTTCAAGACTCTCTGATGCTGCTTTTGGCTGTGATAAAGCTTGACTAGAAGAGTCAAGCATAGCAAGTTGGATGTTGTTAGTCTCAGTCGGCGTTGTAGCGTTCGAATCGTTGCTAGTTGTTCTACGGTGTTGCTGAATGATACGTGCGGAATGCTTTGAAAACATAGCTGCTACATCATCATACTCGCTCATTGCATTGAAGGAAACTTGTTCTCAACGTAAGAGAAGCTGCTCCATCTGGGACAGGCCTCGAGTCCCTTTAAGAAGCACTTCAACTTGTAGACTTTGATCGAGTTTTTACCAATCACAACATGATACATTATAATTTGTCACTTTACTTAAAATAGCATGGCAGCACCAACCTCAAAGGAAGCACTCTTGGCTCTTCAGCTTCGTTGCCGAGGCGACGCAGCTCGTGAATGTACACTTCGTGATTGGATCAAATTTCTTGAAGGACGTAAAGAGACGAATTTGCTACAATTGCTTCCGAAATCGCCATCGGGTGATGCGATTGATTGGCTTAAGTTGTACGAGGAAGTGGTGGCTCGTGGAGGATTTACTATCGTTTCTCAGCGTCAGCAATGGGCCGAAATTCTAGGACCAAATGGAGTGAATGTCAAAGGATTGATGCCGTATCAATTAGCAGCCCATTATGACCGCTATTTACGGGCATTTGAAGAGAAACAACTCTTTGGACGAGACATCCCAATGTTCGAAACGACGATGGGTGTTCTATCGAGTAAGCGCATCGCGCAAGAAGACGACGAAGCAGCTCCTGTCGCTACAATGCAAGATCTTCAGGATGCTCAGGGAGGTATGGGTGGAACTCCATTGCCACGAGCTAACAAGAGATTTAAGGCTCAACGAGAACTTCAGACGCATCTGGGAACGCTGCACAATATCGTGTTGGCTTTAGACTCAGATCTACCTAAACAAGTATTTTCAGCGCTGAATTTGCTTACTGTCTTGTCTTATGCACGAGGGGCAGAGGATTATACTGGACAACAAGGCGCTGTGGTTAATGCTAACGCAACAGCGAATGAGAATGAATTGCTGGTGGATAATGTACCGGGGCTTTTGGACGCTTTATATCGACAATTATCGACATGTAAATTACTACCCGATGAAACAGAAATGCAGCAACAGACGATACGACGAAGATTATTAAATCTAACTGTCGATGACGGCGAACGGGAATTGTTGGACTCAAAGGCACTGCTGGTACTGAATATCATACGCAATCTCGCAATCATTGGTGCAAATGAAAAGCCAATTGCTGCGCATGACGAGATGTGCGTTAGTCTCATTTTGATGCTACGCTTTGTGAATTGTAATGACGCACGATTTGGTCACTCTCGAGTTGCCGTCGAAATTGGCGATTATGTGCTTGACACTCTGTGTGCTATTTCGAAACGCATCGATTTTCTTGCGCTTCACCCTCCAGCTACATTGGAAGTGTGGCATCCACAGTATCAACTTAGCTCTCGGTTGTGGCAAAAAGAATGCGTTCTGCCACTTGAGTGTCTATTACGGGAACTTCGGCGAATTCTTGTTGACCGCGAACTAAAGCAGCAGCGCCGTTCCATTGTACTTCGTGCGTGCGAGCTTCTTACAAATGTATGTCGTGATGTTGCTCTGAGAAGGTTTTTAGCGGCAAGCCAAGCTCTTCACGACCCAGAATTGCTGAATCGAATAGTTGCGCTGCTCGGTTGCTCCCGACAAGATTTCTTACCCCGTAGTTCGAAACATCAGAACCAAAGACCACAATCCAGCGAGCTGCCGACTGACGCCGACTATGATATGGATGCAGAATCAGATTTTGACTCTGACGATGAGACAGATGGGGATGACAACAGTAGGTGGCCTGCACCGTGGGAGAATGACGGACTGCCATCGGGTGTTGGCATGGGAGTTGTGTACGTAAGTCCGGAAGGCGTTCGCCACACGACCTCTTCTCAAATTAGCGGAGCTCGTGCTGCTCATTCTATGGCATGTGAAGTGGAGTTAGACCATGAAATGCGTGATGCTGCACTGGAAGTGCTCTTTCGTCTCTCTGACTACGACGACACCACGAAACGTCGAATGGCACAGCATCCAACATGCATGCGGCGATTAGCGGGTTCACTTCTCTCGTGTGTTGGAAGGGTAAGGCTTTAAATTGTCTTTGTTGCAAGAATCAATCTAATCATGTGTGTTTGCAACGTATAGCCAGAAGCTGCTCGCATTACAGTAGCTACTCTGTGCAATATCTCGATGAATCGAGCCACTTTCCCGTACTTTTTAGCCATTGAAAAGGATTTGATTCTTGTAGCCTGTTCCGACGTTAGTGTATCTGATATTTTAAATAATGTCGTCGCCGACGTCTACGGTATGCACTCATTGTAACCAACTGGTTGCTTCCAACCTGATAGCTTTTATGTTAAGTATGTTTGTTAATGAAAAGAATCGAAAGTCGATACTCCATTTGTGTATTTCTAAACAGTTAAAATCCCAGACCCACAAGCCACTTACGAATATCGCTAGCATGATCACCAACAACTTCCATGCGACCAGGACGTACAATCACCTCCTTTCCTTGACACACCTTGGACATTTCATCACGCAGTTCCTGTTCGTCACCTTTGTAACGGCGTAAGATTGTCAAGATCCGCGTGCGACCGTTCCTGATGTCTCTGTATACAGGAAGTTGTAAACCTACGGCAGTACGCTTCACATGGAACGGCAAGCCCGGTAATGGCGCTTCTGGGGCCGGGGACCAGCCGTTGAAGCTCACCTTCTCTGGTACATAAGTCGGTTCATACTTGAGCGGTGGAACGACTACTTCCTCCCGTGGCTGCCGCTGTAAAGCACGGAGATATGCTGGATGACGAGTTTTGCGACGAATCTGGCGGTTGCTAGCCACACGCTCCACGAAGTTCGCACTAGTTATTACCTGACGCTTAAGCATGCTCAATGGCGCTCGCGAGTGATTGGTCACTAGGTAATTAAAGAACCGGTATTTGATCATTTGTATTTAAGATAGCGACACAAAAACTAGATCAAATTGGTCCATTACTAAACTCAACATGTCTGTCTATTACTTGGAAACACCATACTGAGCTCGGTAGCTGCGAATGATTGATAAGTACGAGGCATTAGTATCTGAAGCTACGTCCAGTTTCTCCAGATATTCGACAAGGCTATCGAGCGTAGCGATCGTCACGACTGGGATGTCAAAACTTTCCCTTATGTGGTCAATGGCAGAGCGAGTATCTTCACTCGAAACTTTCTCTTGACGGTCCAATGAGATGCACACACCCGAGACGTGAGCATTTGTCTTTTTGAGAATAGTAAAGGCTTCACGAATAGCGGTACCGGCCGTAATGACATCATCAATTATCAAAACTCTGTAGTTTACATACAATGAACACAACAGTCAGTAGCTCTTTTATTTCGACAGTAATTCATGACGTACTTTTTGCCAGTCATGTCAGCGCCGACTAGCACGCCTCCTTCACCATGATCTTTAGCCTCCTTACGGTTGTACGCAAAGGGAATATCAACACCGTACATATCACCGAACGCAATGGCCACAGCCGACGCTAGTGTGATGCCCTTGTAAGCTGGGCCAAATAGCACATCGAACTTCACCCCGCTATTCTGCAACATCAAAATCTCATCAAACACTTATACCCAATTCTCTGAAAAAACTTGACGCACGTGGATCGCCTCTGCATAAAATCTTCCGAGTTGACCTAGCGCACGGCCTGTACGAAATAGACCGGCGTTGAAAAAGTAGGGACTTTGACGTCCTGATTTCAATGTGAAGTCGCCGAATTTAAGTACGCCGAAAGACAAGGCCAACTTGATGAACTCGATACTTGTTGAGTTGCCTTTTGTTGTAACAGCACTTAATTTAGTCTTACGAACAACATTTATGGCGTCACGTAGAGACTCAGCCGCTTCTTTAGGGTTTTCGGCCTTAGAGATACCTCGCGATACGGGTACAAGCAAACCAAAACCGTCAGCCGATAAACCGGCCATCACAGCCTCTTCCAAATTGCCACCCTGGGCACCAATGCCTGGGGCCAAAATCCAAAGATTGGGAGATATCATGCGCACACGACGAAGTGCCTCTACATCTGTAGCTCCCACAACAAGGCCAACATTGTCCTCCGAATTCCACTGCTCGCATTTGGCTGCTACTTCCTCAAATAATGCACGCGAGCCAACAGATAGCGTCTGAAAGTCATTAGCGCTGGGATTTGACGTCTTGCACAACACAAAGCACCCGCGATCCGGATGGCCACGTACGAACGGATCAATCGAATCGACGCCCATGTATGGGGCTAATGTTATGGCGTGCGCCTCGAGCTTGTCAAATGCGGAGACAGCATAGGCAGCGGCTGTGGTACTAATATCGCCGCGCTTAGCATCTAAAATAACAGGAATTCCATCAGGAATGGCTTTGATTATAGCTTGCAGTGCTGTAATGCCCTCGGCCCCAAAGGCCTCAAAAAAGGCGGAATTTGGCTTGAAAGCGGCTGCAACGTGCTGCGTTTGCTCGATAAGATTCAGACAAAAAGCTTGTGCAGCAGCAGCTGTGGCCTCATTAAGTTCAGCGATATGAGGGTCTAGACCCACACATACTAGCGAATCCACAAGAGCGACGCGCTCACGTAATAAGCGAAAAAAACTCGGCATGATTGATTACCTGTTGGGTTAGTTTGTCTGATGGCCAAGTGAAGTATTTTCGACAAATTATTGGCTGAGGAAAGATGGATCGACCCAGGATTGGTTTAAATGTCTCGAATTGAATCTAAAGTATCTTTTTTAAATGCATTTGAATAGAAAAAATTATGCTTCACTTTCTCTGCCAAAGCGAATCGCAATGTAGATTGGCTTTGCAACCTTTACGTTTTCTCGCAAAGGTGACGACGGTTGACCCTGCGAGGAATTCAGACCCTTTATACCTCTCCACCGAAATAGAAAGATATATGCAGGGCGCGAATTTTTGGTACTGCCATAAATGCAACGGCTCGACAGTAAAGGGTCTGTCAGTTTGGCCGAGGTCCATCGCCTTTGGTGCGCTCGTAGAGCCTCGACCTCCGGTGATTCAATTAGTCTCCGAGGCGTTGCGGTTGATCTCCGCAATCTCGAAAGCGGTGAGTGGATGCGGGATGTCTGCAGCGGTTCGGAGACTTTCCAAAAGGATGAAAACCGTAATCGCTCCTCGGAGATGGTCTGCCGCAATCGCGGCAATAAGAATTCTTAAAAGCAATCCTCTAGCTCTCGCCTCTCTTGGCTTGTGGACAAGAAAACGATCGCACACTACGAGCTCATATTTACTCACGACACATTTTACAAATGCCTCTTCCGCAGAGGTACTGCACACATGTGCCCATTTTTGCGTGCCTAGAACATTGTAGTACGCGTGTGGTCAATCAGGCAATCCCCAACCCTCCAGGGCTGGACTGTTAACATAAGCGGCGTCTCTTGGGGGGTCGTCTGTACCCCCACATTCGCTGCGTTGAGGTATTCTTGCTCGTTCCAGCAGCCTCTGAGCGTCTCCATACAAGGGTCACCGCTCCTAGCCCTTCAGGCGTCATTTTATCACCTCGGGGCCGGCTAAATACAAAATTAAGCCTGTCTACTTGTTTATAGGACTGGTAGTCGAGCAACTCATGTAACGTCCTAACGTCCTCACCTTCGATAGTGTTTTAATATAGTCGACAAATTGACGACAGATGTTACTGTGCACCTCACATTTTGAGCTGTAATTCCACGTTTGCAACCCCAAAGGAAGGGGTCAATATGCAGCGGGGCTGCCGTAGCTTAGCGCTTGAGGAGACGTAATTTAGGTCACCGACCTTTCGTTCTATACTTGGAACAAGTACGAGTTAGCGGGTCGCAATCCGCTTACTCCAGGAGTAATTATGCTTGACCCAAGGCTAACTAGCTCTTCCGTTCAAAAACCCAAAGCTGACTTTTTTTTTCTGCGGCAAAGCCGCCTAATTTTTAATGTTTAGATTTTCCTGGATATACTAAATATATATGATAAACTCTAAATACATGCATAACTACTG